TCAACCTCCAAGATTTCTTGCAGGTGGAGGGCTCTTCGGACGTCTATGTGTTAGGGTACGTAAGAAAATGCCTCACAATAATTAAAAAATTTATAATAAAAACCCAGAAAATTTAACCTTTGTAGCATGAGACTAATTAATTAACATTTGTATGTTTCTTGTTATTATAAGGTTTCAGGAAATTGTTCCTCTAAGTGCTGGAAATGTTCTAGTGATTGAGGACAATGAACCAGCAGCAAAATGGCTAGCCCTCATAAACCAAGCACTGAATAAACCCCAAAACGCATGCTCCAATGTGCATACTTCTTCAGATTCATCAAACCAGGGTTCCAACAACAACAACAACACCAAGGAATCCAAGTCCCCAGGCAGTCTCAACATCTTCCAGAAGCCTTCTCTAAAAGCTCTCAGAAAAAGCTTCAAAGCAAACAGTAGCCTTCTCAAGTCTTGCAACTGCCCTGTGGAGTATCCATACCAAGAAAGGCGGCGGATAAGAAAGCTCAGTGATGCTACCAGTGAATCAGACTCAGCAGCTTCTCTTCGAAGCATTTATGGCAGTGATGGTAGTGTAGATGAATTTCTTGCAATTGCTGGGATTCAGTCCCCGACTTCCTCTGGCGACATGAATTACCGCCTTATAACAAGCAAGAAGATGGTAGGGATTTTCCTATCGGTTTGGGTTCGAAAAGAGTTGGTTCATCACATTGGCCATCTCAGAGTCTCCACTGTAGGAAGAGGAATAATGGGTTGCCTCGGAAATAAGGTTGGTAAAAACTTTAATAAAATTATTTGTACCGTGACAACTGACCACTAATATCAGTTGACATGATACAAATTGCAGTACTCCAACTTTGGTGTGCCTATTTACACATAGTATCCACGGTGTTTAATCAGAAAATATGATACAAATAGTTTTCGGTCTAATACAATACAATAAAAAGGATGTTTAATGATCATATTATATATATAGCCTGATAATTGTTGAATTGTGATTTTAATCTGCAGGGATGCATATCAATAAGCATGACATTGCACCAAACAAGCTTTTGCTTCGTGTGCTGTCACTTGGCTTCCGGGGAGAAGGAAGGTGATGAGCTCAAGAGGAACGCAGATGTGACTGAGATCCTCAAAAGCACACAATTCCCCAAGATCTGCAAGAATCCAAATCGTCGTCCTTGCGAAAGAATAACTGATCATGAGTACGTACGTTTTACGATATATGAAGAAGATAGTAGCAGGAAAAATTGATGTTGCTTTGCTTTTACATTTCACCAGTTTTTCTTTTCCTTTTGACTTTCATGCATGCATGGTTCAATAACTTGTGATCTTCTGATTATGTATAATTGTTGCAGTC